ATATATATACACACACACACACACATACTAATACATATATAATACATAAACACACAATTTATCAATTTTTCTTTGGTGATGAGTCTGCCAGACCTTTTGCCATTGCCCTAATCTCAATTTTATGTCATCCAAAAAAGACAGATTAACAGATTTCTTTGTTGTGCTCCTATCAAAATGAGAATGAAGTTAGGTGTGCACCGATTACAGTTTTCTAACCTACCACCAAACTTTAAAAAGCCTGACCTGCCAATTCTGATTGCTTTACCTGACAGTTTTTTTGTGTGTCTGAAAAGTCACTAAATATAGCAACAAAGTCACTAAGTAGGAAATCACGGCCAATTTATTGGTGCATCCCTAAATGAAATTAGCTCACGAGGCAAGTTGAGTAATAACAGAGAGGACTCCATTTTTATAACAACATAGGAGTTTTAGTTCGAAACATATTGTTACATGAGAGGTAAAACACTCACTCAGCCTCAAACTGGTTAGGAGTAATGATGTCTGCAACAGGAACAACCTTATTCTTGTAGACCGGATAAAGATTCTGAGGAACGTACTGTGGAAAGAGACATACAAGTTAAAAACACTTTATCATTTAAAAGCAGGCTGACAACCATATGCCTTGAACTAGCATAGTTATACAAAATGTTATATATAACACTTCGCTATATATAACTGTGAGGATTAAAATTCAATAATCCATTTAATATTATTAAATTAACTAATAATAGTATTAGCAGCAACACTTGAAGATACATGAACAGCAAAATATACAGATCACAACAGACAAGGAAAATAAAAGCAACTTCTCCCACATATTCAAAACATAAACACCACTGCTACTGCATTGAGACACCTATAATCTCACCATGGATCCATGATCACCAAGGACGGGGTCACATACTGAAAGGATAAACATACAGAGTCATCAGAGACCTGCTCACCCTCTGAGTGCAACCACATTAGATAAAACACTGCAGTGAGGGGGGGAATGAAGATCTGAACTCATCCAGAAATATGGAGCACAAAAGAAGAGACGTTTTAGAAAGATATGACAAAGAGAGAACTGGATGGCTCCTCTATAGCACAACGGCATGCTGTTAGAGGAGATGATGTGCTCATAATTATTATATCATGAGATGCTTTGTTGGTGAAGATAGAAAGTGGGTCTATGCTGTAGAAAAGTGGTTTCACTGAATGATCCTAAAGTAAATGAGAGTTGGATTCAGAACCAGCTCAGAAATACAGAAAGCTTCTGAAAAGTAGTGGTGTTACATAAGGAACAGAGAACTTGGTATCAATGCACAACCCAGTGACCACCCAAGATAAAAGCAATTATAGCACCTGAAACATGGTGTATAAGACAAATATTTAGGTACTGATTTGTTCAAGAGGTCAATGTTCTGGAAGAGCATTCCTATGATTATCTAATGAACCAAACACATAATACAAGTAATACATATTTGGTAAGTAATACATATTTACTGGTTAAACACAGTTGTATTAAATACAAATATAAGAATGTACGGTTATAATGAGAACCGTACATTCTAGGAGAATCAGATTTCTTCTAGATTTATTCTAGAAATTTTATTTTTAGAAGAAATGAAAAGTGTTGCTCACCATAAACCAGATTAGGATTGGCTCTCTTTAGCTCCTGAACAATGTCCACCACCATCTCTAAAAAAGACGTGTCTCTAGTATATCCTGAACACATCCCACACAACAACAAGGACCAATGCATTTAGAAAGGCCGTTCAAAATGTGCAACATCAAGATAGGACATTAAAACAGTAGAGAGGGAAAAAACATAGATGAAATGCACAATTCTTCCACAGGCACAATAAATCCTAAGTGTACCTCAAGTTAAGGTTGACTGAAAAACTTATTTCCAAATCATTACCAATGGACACACCACAGTAAAAGTAAAAAGGCAAACATTCACCTGTTAATACATAGTCATACTGGTGTACATTGTTCAGTTTGATTCCCTCATAAAGAACGTGCAGCTCATCTGCCGTCAACACCTGGCCTTTCCAGTGAGAATAACCTGTGAAAAGAACAATGGATCAGATGGATTTATTGAGCTTCTTTAAACTGGATCAAGTCCATCCTACAGTCTCCATGAGGAAACACCAACATCATTTCAAATCAGTTCACCACAGAGTATGCCATCCTTCATATCCATTTTATTGTTAAAAGACTCAAGAGTCCTAATTCAAACCTTATAAAGTGCTACCTGAAATGTGTCCACCTTCTTGCCAACCTCTGTCTGATGCCAGAGATCAGACCATGATCTCCAGCTTTTACTGGAGAGGTCTACATCTGAGTGTGAAGTGGCTGGGGTTGAAAATCAGCCCCTCCAAATCCAGACAAGGTTTCTGGTCGGACCTTGTTACCAACCAGAGAGTTATTTCTCTGGGTCGGTAACAAGGTCCTGCCCAAAGTGGAGGAGTTCAAGTATCTCAGGGTCTTGTTTAGGAGTGACCCCTGATTGGTGTTGATTGGTGTGGCAATCAACACTAATCCACCTGTTGATTGCCGGACCAATCACCAGGTGGATTGATGTGGCATCTGCAGCAATGCGAACGACGTGCCTATCTGTCATGAAGAGAGAGTGGAGTAGAAAAGCAGTGCCTTTAATTTACCGGTCAATCTACGTTCCTCTCCTCATCTATGGTGTCAAGCTCTAGATCAGTGGTGACCAAAGTCGGTCCTCGAGGGCTGGCATCCTGCACGCTTTAGTTCTTTCCCTGGTTTAACGCACCTGGATCAAATGATGGCTCGCTAGAAGACATAAGGAGAAAATTCACATACTGGAAAGGTTGTTACTACCACCAGGGAGAGAATTAAAACATGCAGGATGCCGGCCCTCGAGGACAGACTTTGGGCACCCCTGCTCCAGATAGTGACTGAAAGAATGTGATTGCGGATACAAGCAGCTGAGCTGACTCACTGGTTAGGTGTTCCAGATATATCCTACCAGAAGGAGACCCTAAGAAAGAGCCAGGACAGGCTGGATGGACTATGTTTCTCAGCTGGCCTGGCAGCTCCTTGGGATTCTCCCAGAGGAGCTGGTCCAAGTGGTTGGGGAGAGGGAAGTCTGGGTCTCTCTGCTTATGGGCCCTGGTTGGTCACACTGAACTGCTAAAATCAGTTGTCACTGTCATACTTGAATGACGAAAATCAAGTCATGTAGTTCACAGTCTCATATCATCCTCCGCCCCTTCTTGTAAGAACCCCAACTTTTAACTTTTGTTTCCCAGAAACGTGCATATCCTAACATTTGAGTTCTACATTCTTCCTCCCAGGAGAGTATAATTTTCCACAAGGGGCCCAACAAAACCTAATTTTCATTAACAAAGAACCGGAAAGCAGAACAGCAACTACTTGCTTTGTGAGATCCTTTTGGTTGAAGTCGGAGCAGTAGGGAGGCACAACAGACATAAAACTAAGAATTACAATAACTCAGTGTTCCGGCAATGTAGGGCAGGCATGATGAAGTTTTACCTCTAGCATGAGGCCAGTGTGATCAGTGTCTGTCTCTGATGAATAAGACTTGCTCTGATCAATAAGGACCTCACTGACTCCATATGCTGGCATTGCTGCCCCCATGCTCTCTCGTGCTTCTACTCTCATTGTAAAGTAGTTATTGTTTACCAATCAGAAAATCCTAACTTTACATTTCACTGACAGTTGTTTTGAGTAATTGATATCAAAGTATCAAACTTTTTTAATCCAGAGCAGAGGTATGAACGCACACATATGAAAAACTCACTCACATATGAAAAACGATGACATCTGTTCAGATAAGGACATGGATTTTGATGTAGCAGGAAATAACCCTTCCACTAACACCTATGCTGTCCCTATATGTAGTTTCTGTCTGGATCTGCGCTAAACATGAGATTTTGAATAAGTCGTCACATTTATGTGTCATGGGCACCACCCAAACTGGGTTCATATGCGGGTGTGTGTGCATGACATGTTTGCTGCAGGCCGATGATGTCGCAGCTACAGGTGAGTCACAGTCAAGTCACATGGTGGTGGAGAATTTGGTTGCTAAGCAACAGGCCAGGAGAAAGCCAAAGGGGCTAAAAAAGACAGATGAGCATTCACAGCACCCGAAAGAGAGGGAGAGTAAGAGCAAAAAATTGATGGCAGGCTAACAGATAAGGGCTGCCTCTGTCGTCATCAAACGTTGCTGTCGCAATTCCAATGCCTGCTGTTTGCTGCTGCGGCGCGTCACTCCCTCTATCTTCATATGTGTCATTCCTTCTCCGTCTAATCGACAATGTAATCACTGTCGATTACATTTCTCATTTAGGTTTTTTTTTTCTCTTGATCTCTGCAGCCTCTCAGATTCCAAGCATCTACTTCAATGTCTGATCAAATTATACACTCTCCATGAAGAAATTGCAAATCATGGTTTCAAATACAGAAGATCTGATTAAATTTGAGCGAGAGTCTCTCGGATCTTTATGTTAAGGTCACTCAAATTCACACAGAGGATGGATGACTTTTTCTGGTCTCATTTTCCCTATGTGAGCTACAAAAAAAAATTGCTAATGTCATATTAACAGAGATTCTTATGATTTTTTTAATGTTTATTAAATTTAAATAACAGATCTAAATGACCCTAAAGCTTTGGATTTCAATGGCATGTCAGAACTTGTGCCAAAAAACAAATTTAGGAAGAAATGGAAAACTGGTGCTCCTTCACGCACTATCCAGTGCTCTCTTTGTGAACAAAGTTAGAAATATCTATTTAAACATGATAGCTTAAACCAACACAACAGTTGAATTGTGAAATAGAAAAAAAGAATTAAGATTTTTAGTATTGACATTTTTAACCACTTGCATGTGCAATATTTTGTCCGGTGTTTCTATTTTATATAGCAGTGGTCCCCAACCCCCGGTCCGTGAACCGGTACTGGTCCGTGGACCAATTGGTGCCGGGCCGCACAAGAAATAATTAAATATTTCCTGGAGCCTCAAACTCTGTCATTTATCTCTATATATGGTTGCTTCATTCCGAGGGTTCGCCCATACAGCAACACTACACAATTATGCTTACCCTCAGCCTGCACCAGGCTACTTCACTAACATTGTTCCTCGTGATAACAGAAGTTTTAACTTAAGCAATAGGCAAGCTTCAGTTAAAACATTAAAGATTTAATGTCTCAATGTGCGTATTGATCGTGTCGCTTATTTATTGTGAAGCATTTCTTGTCATTGTTGCCGCAATACATTTTAGTTATTGTAAAAAAAAAACCTGACTAAAATGTTAATTCTACTATGTTGTTATTTTTACTTTTATTTTTTCTACAATAGCAAAAAAAAAAATTTTCATATATAAAACATCACCATAATCCAGGAGTGGCAGGAAGGTTGCAGCTACCAATTAATTTACTTCTAGCTTTAAGAGAAAAACAAGATCCATTTCGGTAATAAAACCCAATCTTCATTTTCAGTGTTCATAACAATTTGGCTATGTGATTCTTAAAAGAAAGCTCTGTATCTAAAATAAAGCCAAGATATTTATAATTACTGACAAACTCAATTTGTGTTCCTACAGCAGTTGTAAGCAATAGAGGGATTTCTGGTAGTTTTCTACAGTGTGAAAAAAACCATTGCTTTTGTCTTATCCACATTCAGAACTAACTTCAGAGTTTGTAAGCGGGTTTGAACTACATTAAAAGCAGACTGCAAATACTGAATTGCCTGTACATGTAATGAAGAATAGCAGTAAATTACTAAATCATCTGCATAAAAATGATAAAAAGCATTTGACTGATTTTCACACAAGTTATTTATTTCAATATACAATAAAAGTGGCCAAGAACTGAGCCCTGTGGGACACCATTTAAAATCATACAAATAGAGGAAGTAAAGCCAGTCAATTGAACTCTCCGTGTTCTGTTCAACAGGTAATTAGCTACTCACTTGGTAGCTTGATGTGAGAGCCCAATGCTGTGTAGAATGTCAATTAAAAGCGTGTGATTTACTGTGTCAAATGCCTTTGATAAATCAATAAACAGAGCAACACAATACTTTTTGTTATCAACAGCCTGAATAAGATCATTAATAACCTTTAAAGTGGCAGTAACAGCACTATGTTTTTTCCTAAAACCAGACTGTACATTTTGTAAAACACAATCGGAATCTAAAGAAATCTTCAATTGATCTGCAACTAATTTTTCAAAATTTTTTGCTAGGATAAATGGTTTAGAAATTGGTCTGTAATTGTTTACCTGTGACGATTCTCCACCCTTGAATAGAGGCAAAGCAAATGCTGATTCCCAGACTCTAGGGATTTTATTACATATTAGACTTATATTAAAAATATGAGACAATGGCTCTGCTATGAACTCTGCAGCTAATTTTAGAAAAAAATGATCTAGGTTATGTTGCCCTGCTGACTTTTTGGTGTCTATGTTTTTCAATTCTCTGAGAACCTCAGCTGTACAAATAGGGGAAAAATTAAAATTGGTGAAGTTACAATCATTACTCAAAAACTGCTCATCAGAATATACATTTGGGCCGAATGAATTTAAATCATCAAATAGAGAGTCAACAGAAATAAAATGCTCGTTAAAATAATTTAAAATTGCTAATTTATCAGACACCATTTTACTTTTATTCCAAACAAAATTTGGAAAAATGATATTTATTGTATCTCAACACTAATGTTTATTTTTGACCAACACAGATATTTTATTTTGTTGCCTTCCAAAAATAATGGCCCTTTTTGCCAAAAGTGATTTGGGAATTTTTTTATTTATTTATTTTTTTAAATCACCTGGCAAAAAAGATTTTGGCAAAGTGACGATATCAAAGTCTTTGTAGTCAGCATTGATAAGATTAAAGACATTCAAAAACATCTGGACATTTCTTGACTAATCTTAGACGAGACCATTTGATTATGGAACAAGGACAAGACATTTACGATCTGAATATGCTTTGTGTTTCTCTGAGGGAACAGCTGAACAAACTACTTGTTTTCTTAGCCCACTGCTGGTTCATTCTTTTAGTTCTGCTGGGATGAATAACATCAGCTGAGGCCACCTCTGATTTCAAGAACACACAGTGCAGATTGTTCATTCAAAGGACTGGCAATTAGAGCAAAACAAGTAAAGTGACACAGGCAGACAGGATGATGCAGACAGCCCTCAGAACCATCCAATGATCATGCATCATCAGTCAGTTTCTGAGGAATTAAACACAATTCCTGCCACAAGCATGCCTGTTAAAGAGTTGAGACTTTCACTTTGTACATTGGTGGCAATATGCAATTAAGTAGCTCTCTGTTGTTGAAATCATATTCGTTTTTATATTTTGGAAAAAAGTGTATTCCATCTCTAACTACATCAACCTACAGAGATTTTACACTTATTCAACTTTAAAAATACCTTTTTAATCCCAAAGTAATTAAATTAAAGAAATTAAATATTGTTGTAACTTATTTTATCCAAAGTTTTTCAAAGTCTAAAATCATGTATATTTTGGTATGGATAAGTTTTTATACATTTCAATCAATGAAGTTAATTTGTATAGCATATTTCAGCAACAGGGCAGTTCAAAGTGCTTCACATCATTAAAACACAAGAATACAAAATCATAAAAACCACCATGCAGTCAACTATATGAGTCAAACCTTTCCTGAGTCAAGTTTCTACCTTTACAGATTTTTTAAAAAATGCTAAAAAATAAAAAATAAAAAAAAGATGCTAGAAAAAAAAATAAAAAGCTCTGTATAAATATATGGCACATATTTCTATATCCTTCTGGCTTTAAATATGAAACAGGAAAGGTAGAAAAGATGAAACTAGAATAGATACAAGGGAACAAGGAAGGAAGGAAAAATATAAGGAATGGGAAAGAGGTATACAAGGAATTGATGATAGAAGGGAGGCGGGGCACAAGGATACAAGAAAGTTCACCAGTAAACAATGAAAAATACAAGGAAGGTAAGAAGTAAGAACACAGGGATTCAAGGAAGGACGGAATGAAGAGCATGAGGAGGGGAGGAAGAGCAGTTTTCTTATTTAATTACCGTATTTGTATTTCAAGAACAATTTACTGATTTTTATACTGACTTTGGTGTTTTGCGCAAGAAAATAAATCCAATAAAAACTTTACAATTAGTAACAAGTTCTGGAGACTCTTGTCATTGTATATTTTCTGTAAAGTTCGCCAAAACAAAATATTAGAGAACATTTAGAATTATGCCAGGCTAGCCTTTAACATTTTAGCTCTTATAAATGCAAATTGTCAAGACTTCAAACATGAAAGAGGTACATAAAACTCCACAAAAAACACAAGCTCAGGTGGCTTTGGAGCAGGAGCTGTGAAATTGACACTGCAGGGTACAAATAACTCACGAGCTCTTTAAAGGTGAACTGTACAGAAATAAGTTAACTGTGTTTCACTAATAATAGAAATGTCTTCATTTTTTCTGGTAATTTTTGTATCAACCTCAGTAAAATCATGTTTATGGCAGTGACCATTAGAGATACACTGATCCAATTTTAATATCGGCATCAGTACCAATATTGAAAAAAACCATCTAGATCAGGTGTTGGTCACAATGCGCCCAATCCATAAGGGCAGATCTTTCAGTCTAACTCTATGCTTGAATATTATTTATTTAATATTTTTGAATTATTACACTTTCTGAACTATTTGAAAGAAGATTTGTTGCAGTTTATCTTTGTCAAACGTAAAAATAGTCAGTCTATTGTTTTTGCCAGTTTTAGTTGCTTTATTATTTATCTGACCTTGGCTGTTATGCTCCTATATGCTCTGACTGAACAAATTAGAGTCGTTTTTACATGGCTGACCAAGCTTGTGAAGCTATTGGTGTATTTAAGTGTGTGCTACTGGTGCAGAGTTATCAATAAATGTGTAATTCAGTTCATTTATGTCTGTCTAGAAACAAAAATGTTTTCAGTTTCAGTCAGTTCAGCAATGTTTCTCTGTGTCGGATCGGTATCGGCTGATACTAAACTTCAGATAGTGGTATTGGTTTTGGAAGTGAAAAAATAGTGACCTTTACTCCTCACTTTAATTGGTGCCACCTCTTCAGTTTTCTGCCACATGTAACATGTTGCATGTAAGCCAAAAAATTGAGTTTTGTTTTTTGGCAAAAAATGTGAGAGAGTTAGAGTACATCAGTATTATGGAGTTGAAATGTTGTTCGCTGACCTGAAAAAACTCCACTCCTTCCTGTTCTCCACCCCCCAGCTTCAGGGTGGCCCCCTGCTTCAGCAGCAGCCTCCTCTGTTAATACTCTAAAACCTCATCACGACTTCAGCAGCACTGACTGACTCATGCACACCCACACAATCCATCTATACCATACGCTCCCAAATCATCCCCTCAGAAAGATGGTCAGAACCTGTGTGGTTGGAGAACTGCACCGAGTTGATGGAGTCCACCTCAAACCCTAAAACCTGCACACAAAGACACAAGAAGAAGAGAATCAGAGCAGAAACAAAATGTCTCCAGTCAAACATTTCTAGTAATCGTTTGGGGACATTTTAGCATCTCAAACCCAAATGTAACTTTCACCCTTTTTCATTATTTACTTTTGTAGCCTCTAAAAGCTTCACCATCACCCCACTGTCTAATTTTTGCAGCACTTATGTGTGGGTATTTATAGCTGAATACGCAGAAATCCTGATGCCCTGGAACTGCTAAGAGAGAACCAACTCTAGATGAAAAAAGGAATATTACTGCACAGCTAATTCTGTGAAATTCAAACTAAAAGAAAGGAAGATTTACAAAAACATGACAATCCAACATTCATGCAGAAATCTACAGAGCAGATAAAGAAAAAAAACGCACTTGGTGTCCTTTCGGAGTGGAAAGAGGCCGGCTTGCAGCTCATCCACATACGGCTTCGTTTAACTGGACTAAAGCGGGCGGAATGAATGGGCTCTTTGTTCTTTTCAATTCACTGTGACTTTCAGAGAAGAAACACCCCTGTAAACCCCACCACCCCTGCCAGCCAGAACAAGACTCCAAATTAACTTTGACCTTGGAGGGACATCTGTATGCTCCTGAGAGCGCAGTGCGTGCTCTCTGCAAGGTAACCTGCTGGATGAGCACCACCAACGTGTGACTTTCAACGTGTGAGGTGCTGAACAAAAACATGAAGCTGTAGATAAAACCTTCACAAGAAAGGCTGAACTGTGGATTAGACTGTGAGTTGTTTTTTTGTCGTGGTGATCATTTAGTTAATATCTAAGAAGGAGTTCTGCTACTTATGGAGAAGGAGACAGACTCTAGAACAGAGAACTATGTCTACAATTGGTTTTAGCTGTCAAGTTGTCAACATAACCCACTAAATCTTAAATGTATGTGAGATATGTAAAAGAACACTACAACTAAATAAAGTCAGGAAAAAGTTTTAATTAAAAGTAAAATAGTGAGGGAGAGGGAAGTAGGTCAGCTATGCTAGCTTGACAAAACATGACTGTCAGGTTAATGGATTTCTCTAAATTCTCCTTAGATATGAATGTTATCGTGCATGGATGATTGTCCTGTCTGTCTCTGTGTTGTCCTGCGATGGACTGGCAACCTGTCCAGGGTGACCCCACCTCTTGCCCGAAATCTCTCGCTGGAGATAGACACCAGCAACACTCCCAACTCCACTAGGGACAAGGGCATAAGAAAATGGATGGATGGATGAAGTTGAGAGGAGGAGGAAATAATGATTGACAAGTTCAAAATCTCATTTTAAATGTAGGTGTTGGTGGGATGTTCGCCTACTACATCGGACCAGAACAGAGCAGGAGTTCAGTGTTTTCCTCACGGCCTTGGACAATTTCTCCTCAGAACTATCCATCCTGCTTTTCTGGGAGAAAAACTAGTTTATGGAATTTGAGCAGAGCTGTTTTCTGCATAAACACACCCACAAAATTCATACCAAACAAACAGTTTTGCATGCAGAAACTATATTGCACAAAGTAGGAACTATTTGTAAACACTGAGATTATGACAGACGTCAACTGACTTCTGTTTTGGAGCTTCATGGATGAAAGATTCAGGGCTCCATCTGATCACCTCAAGACCAAGAACTAACAAATCTATTTTAATCTAACCTGAACGGGATAATTCTGCACTAAACGGAAATTATTTACAACAGTTTGACATTGAAAACACAAATAATAGGCATTTTCTATTAGAGACGCAGACAATACGTTTTTGTTGTAATAAATTAAGTTTTCCTGTTTCCTGCTTTCAGTTTAACTACAAGTTTTCCTCAACAAGCAGCAGCTTCCAAACCTCCAAACCGCTAACTCTTAGATATGGTGCATTCAAGGATCAGAAAAACATGGGATTTTGTTTTTGTTTCCAACTGGCCCATCTGAGGAAATCATGTAATTGTGGTCTTTGCTTTTTAGTCATCTACTTTCCACAATCTACACTGTATTGTTATACTCTTAGATATTAAGGCGTGTAGCAGTGAACACCAAATAGCCTAGATTTTCCTCTTTTTTTTCTTTTTTTTTTACTCTTATGCCTTCTGCACACTGCACCCACATGTGACTCTCTCATATGGAGAACCCATCTGTAAAGTACCTGATTTGAGGCAATCCTCCCACATTAAACAAGATTAGATCAGAAATTCCCACACACATTTACAGCAACATGCATACATGATGTTGGTTTTGTCTCATCTTTAAAGCAAGAGATAAATAATCTCCATGTATGGCTAAGAAGCCAAAGGAAGGGCCTACTTCTCCCTTGCTGTCTCCCTAACTCTGCAAGGCCTTCCTTCCTTAGAGCATTAGGTTGTTCACAAACCATCACACTGACCACAGTCTGATTTCTATGTACTTCATGCAAGTGTACATGCTTACTTCTACAGCGTTTCTCTAAATCTGAATTTAAAAAAAGAAAATCAAGAAGTATAAACTAATACTACAGTGCAGGGAAATAATTTATAATGTATCATAAAAGTACTCAAATTTGTTTTGTTTGCAAATGACAGAGTTTTTTCTTCTAGGATAGATTATGATGGATGAATGAATGAATGAATGAATGAATGAATGAATGAATATACTTGATTAATCCCAGAGGTTAATTGCAGTAGGTTTTGAACATGTTCAAAAAGGAAAAACATTAAACAAAAAGTGATTTGATAAGTGAATTATCAATAAATTTAGATAAAGCTAAATTTATGTTATTAAAAATAAATATTTGTACTGATAATACAAATATTGAAGGGGAATAAAAAGGGTAGAGTAAGATAAGTTTATGCTTCTACCTACCTCTTTTTCAAACAAATAAATATGCATCATGGTGTATAAGTGTGAACATATTTGAAATAAACAAATAAGCTATTGGCACAAAAAAAAGCCTCTGTTGATTCACCCATCCTGGGAATCGTCTCTACTTTCTCAGATTTTCTGTTTAGTTTATCCCCAGCACCTCAGCTCTGTCTTCATCTTCGCGTCATTAGGAGTAATCCTGTGGCGGCCAATCAGAGCGTGTCTTCCTCACGCTGCAGTCTCCGTTATGACAGCACAGAGAGAGGGATGCCCAGCACGCTCGCGGACATCATCGTCATCATCCTCCCCTTCTCTCTTACACCAGCTGAATCATGGCCATTACTCTGAAAGCTGAGCAGCCTCTTCACTGACCTGCCACTCGTTTTTTTAATCAAAATTCCCCACAGTGCCAGATTTGACCTCATTTCTTTACTTTTACCACCGTGGACAAGAATCTGTGGCGAGGAAGACTGCAATGCTGACCATTTGGATATTTTTGGACAGTTGTATTGTCTATGCATGTAAAATTATTTCCTGGTGAACATTAGTTAAGAAGAGTGTGCCACGGCACTAAAAGTTGAAACCACAACATCAAAATTAATCTGAAGTATGACTCCAGCTGCTAATGTCGAAAAAGCACAATTCCTCAATTGCAGTGAAATAGAAACACAATTAAAATCAGACAAGTTTGTTCACGCGATGAGTCATTAAAAAAACATGCTGCTCTGCCACCATCATGCTCCTGCCACTTCCTGTCGTCTCCTTCTTTATTTCCACCAGTAGAAACATCCAGTTGGTGATTCTGTGACTCATGTGATGCGAAAAAAAAAAATAAAAAATCTATCACAGCTTTGTAAAATACACCAATAGCCATATAACCAAAAAGCCACCTCATCCTATAGCCAAAACTGCCTTGTTTCCATAGGTTGAGTTTCCCTGTGACTGCTTGAAGCAGATGAGATCCTTCCCAGACTCTTCAAGGATAAGCAGATATAAACAACGGAAGGATATAATTCAGTAGACTGCTTTCAATTTAGCATGTGTTCTATTTGGAGCTAAATTAATATTTAAATTAATATTTTGAGCAAATTTTACGACCACTCGCCAACTTTATTCTTTATTAAAATTATTGGTTACAATTCTAGCTACTTTTTCAGGTGTTACTGGAAATGTTTGGAGACTCATGACAGCACTTATTGGTGGTCCCCAGATACAGCACTCACAGAGAAAAGCCAGACCCGCTTTGTCTGCATCCCAACTGCAAATGAATCACACAGTCAGGCATAAGGCCACTACTGACCAATCCCTAACAGTCAAGGTCGGATACAGAAATGATCTTGCCTTTGTCCTAAATAAATTACTGCATTTCTATTGTATATTTTGGTCTATTCAGGTTGTTAATGCAGTCTGAACAAAAAAAAACTTTCAAATAATTATTGTACTGTAACTTTGTGTAAGTTCCTAAGTAGAAACACATCAATATAAAAATTTAGGACAATATCAGTGTCAAATTGTTAACCACACCATTGCTTCTCTGCTTCAGTTAAACTCCCCACAATCCTTTACTGTCCCACCATCACTGTCACATGACCAACCTTTCCCACCAGAAAACGGCAACAAGATGGAAATATATAGTTTATTTATCGGACCGATATCATCCATTCATCTATCCATCCATCCAATTTCTGTACACCCTTGCCACAATTCTGTACACTACGCAATGCACCTTTTTGCTCCCAACTTAATGAATAATCAGTTTAAATACTCATAATATCAATATTGACCAAAAATAATCCTAATAAATGTTTTTCATAATCTAGAAGCCCTATTATGCAAGGCTGCACCGATTGCAATTTTCTGGCTGATCGCCGATTGACTGATCTTTATAAGTCCAACCTGCCGATTACGATTTTGGCCAATTACAATTTCTTTTTTTATCTGAAATGTTGCTAAATACAGCAAGAAGTCACTGAATTGGCAACAGTGGTGTGACTATTGTTAACTGCAAACAAGCTGACATGAGCTGGTAGGCCAGTCAGTAAGTCAAACCTCTCTCCTCAGAGTAGATGAGGACAGTGGCTGATTTTTATACATTTGTGGAGGTAGATACTATCAGGGTATAAGATCAGCTTCACATGTACGTATCGGCCAATCACCCAAAATTAAGGAAATCTGAGTCGATTTATCTGTGGATACCTACTAAAATAAACGTGTACTACCTAGCACTCAGGAAAACATGAGTTTTAGGAACGTATCTGAATGTTCGGAGCCAGATATATTAAAGTCTGACCTGCATAAACTCCTGCTGGGTCTAAATGAATGCCCTGCAGTGTCAAGAACTTCAATGTCAAAGAACTAATTGGGACAGTGTTCCCAATATTAGACTATAAAATACTGATGAAATGTAGTATAGTGACACTACATTGACTGACAAATGCCCGGACTAAACTGACTCGGATCAGGGACAAAAGGGATCCTGATTGGCCGATCCCTTTAGAATGCTAATAAGATAAGCTAGTAGAGCTTTTCAAACATTATAAAGAAAATTATCCTCATTGTACATAGCTTGTTGTTCTATTGTTGTAACATCCAAACTGATTCTATTAGAATGAATTGGGGATTTTGATTATAATATCCATAAAAGTGGAGTTGCAGAGCTTGCAGAGTAGGAGTACATTGACTGTGACCTGCCTGAGTCGAGGCTGTGTGCTGAGTCCGGCCCTGTTGCTCTGCATTACTTTACCATTAAGGTGGTACAAATTAGCCTTAATAGGGCGTAGTGCTTAAAGATTACTGACTACACTGAACTCTGATGACAAGCATCAAAGTGGAACAGCCATGAGGAGAAGCACCAAATAAATCCTGGTGTGCTGCAGGCTAAAAATAAACCTGGGCCACCTCTCACCACGAGCACCATGATGGAGCTCATACTGTAAGCTCCTCACACCAACCTCCACCAGCCACGGCAAAGCCTATATCATCAGGGTAATTATTACTAATGCAAAGACACTTACTGTCATCCTATTGTCAATAATGGACATCGTAAAGGAGACATGATGGCAACACTCATTGCCAGAAGGAGCAAATACCCCTAATGTCCTCTCACATATCGTATCAATTGCCTCATTTAGACGGCGCTTGTTATGACTCTTTGTAAGACACTTGAAAAACCGCCCAGAGGCAAGACTTTTATTACTGTTTATGTAGGTAATGAGCCAACAGCAAAAGTTAGAAGAGTTTGCAAGACTCCAAAATAAAAATCACTTGTTCATTCAGTTTTTTTTGGTTTTTTTGTTTGAGGTTTGGATCTTTTTCCAAGTTAATACAGACTGCCCAATAAAGTAGATAACTGAAGCACTGAAATTAGACTATTCAGATATAAAAAGACTGAATGAAATTTGAAAAATGTCAAACACTAGCATAACTGGAAAATGTTGGGAGGTAGAGATTTTACGAATATTCAGCCTTCTGATAAATCAGCTCTAATTTGCCTATTTATTATAATTATTTATGTAATTTCTCATTGGGATCAATGAAGTTCTTAAGTGGTTAACAATAGTCGCTCCACTGTTGCCAAATTAGCAACTTTGCTGACCTGAGCAAAGGAGTAAATCCCTTCTCATTATTGGGGGGACAATAAAGAAGGACATTTCTTAAGCATAATTTTGGGGGATCAGAAAAGTTACAGCAGCAAAATGTAACGTGATTTAATTTTTCTTTTTTATGTGTTCAAGCTGCAGGAGCAAAATTGGATAAGTGGTAATGTACAACAAATGTGTGTTTTTCTCAGTAAACAAACTGTTGAGACCCACAAAAGTCAAACTAAAATTCAAATGTTGAATATCTGGGAAGTATCATAACTTCAACTTACCGTTGAAAGCACCAGGGTTTTTATGGAAAAATATTCAGATTTTAATGTGTGGTTTTAAAGGCTCTACGTTAAAGATAGTAAGAAATAAAGGCATACTTTCTTGTTTTTTAGTCAGCTGCTCTGCAATAGCCCCTCTGTTCTCAGTTTCCACTGAGCTGTCGGCTAGTGGCACCACTCAGTCCCTCCTGCCCATTTCAAACTCTTCTTACTAACATAAGTGTTAAATTGCCAAATATAATTGAGATATTTGCTACCTTTAACAAAAACAACTAAGTCTATTAAAACAATGTAGCCAGTTTTGTTAGTTTTGATTTAGGCATAACAATGCAGTTTATCATGATTCAGCCTAACTAATGAAATGAACAAACTGCAGTCTGACTTTTGTTAATGTGTTTCTTCCTATTGAGTAGCTAAAGGAAATAAAATGTGTATCATGTCTTTTGCTTTATGTATTTACTTCCTGGAATTTTTGTGCCGCATAGCCACAGCTAACAGTTAGCTCCTCACTTCAGAGGCTCCAAGGAGCCTGTGCGGACCGAACCATTGCTCTAACAATGGTGGGGGGGGACCTAAAAATTCATTCTTATTTTTGTCTTAGATGAAAGGGGTATTCATTTCATACTTTGTTTCTTTTGCCTTTCCTCTATTGATATTGTTTAAATACAAGGGTTTCCTTCATGATTTCTTTGGGAGAGACAATTCTAGACTTTTCCAAGATTGGGAGGTTCCGCACCCCCCTCCCGGGATTTACGCCAATGGACCTCAGTGAAGTTGGTCCCTCAAACCTTTTTCAAATTAAATTAGTGTCAAAGGTTTGTTCCGAAAAATATTTTCATGCTAACATCATTTTAAAGACATTAATAAATGTTTGCAGAGGGCATCAAAGGTCAATCAGCCCTTCGACATTTACAAAATCAAATGTATTCAGTGACAAACATTTTAGCTACTTAAACAGAGCACAATTAATTAATATAAGTAGTGTTTGATTTTGTTAATGGGGAGTAGGTTGATCTCTGGGGACCTCTGGAAACTTTTTTTTCTAAAATCTCACAACTTATAATGGCAAAAAAAAAAAAAACTGCTGCACAAACCAGCATAAATGTGTGACGCCAACTTCATTTAATTTGGAGAAGGTGATGTGAGCCTACTTCACTCAGGTGTTGCTAAATTTAACAACTTTTCAGACAAGAGGATCGGTGATCGGCCAGAAGACTGCAATCAGTACACCCAAACTGTGAAAACCTTCAGAGGAGTTGTCTCAACCGCATTCCTCAAGGGCCAGAGTCCTTCAACTTGTGTCTCTTGTCCTAAACACTTTCATTAAATGGCTAAACTCCCTAACTAGCCTTTACAAGGCTCTGCTAATGAGATAATATTGGATCCACGTGTGTTGGAGCAGAGAGACATCTAAAAGCTGCAGGACACCAGTTCTCCAGATCTGCAGTTTGAGACCACTACTCTAGAATTTATTCTGACAGTTTTTAGAATTACTTGGGTACTATGCTACTGTCTATGTGCGTTTGTATCCAGTCGCCAAGTCAAATACAGCTGAAAATCTCAAAACATTGCACATCTAAGCAATGCTTTCTCAGAAAATTTCTAGAAACGACTCCCCGCCCCTCCTCAAATTTCTAAGCACCAAAAGTTTTCTAGAAAATGTCTTACATTAATCTACAATTTTCTGAGTTTTTTTCTTCATATTTTTTCTTGTCTGCAATGGGCTTAATATACCGGTCGAATTAAACTGTTGTAAGAGTATGAAGGAGTAGTTTTAAGGACATTGATATAGATAACTACCTTACACCAGACAGCAACTTGGAGTGACCCCTGTTAAACAGAGACTGCTACAACAATGTAAGAAAATTCACAAAATTAAGAACAATAAATGACCCTGACTAAATGATTGCGTAGGAAATCTTTGAAAAATGCTCAGCAGCATTATGTTGGTGTATCACGTTTAGAATTTCATGTAAAGTTCATCTTCCCTTATGCTGATTGATATTAATGTTTCAATAATGCAATAGTTATTAAATCCTACTTTTTGTATTTAAATTGCTTACAATTTCTGTTACACACGTCCCCTCGTGATTTCTACAGAGCAGTCTACATTTCAGTCATTTATCTCAGCTCCACTCTGATCGTACTATTTGTTCCGTCGCTTTGGTGAATGAAAAACGTCGGTTTTGCGGTGACGGACAACGAGACCTCCCAGAACATCATGATGACTCAATTATCGGGTATCCTCAATGACAGGTGTCGTGCCTCGAACCCGCAAGAAAAGGACGGGTTTTCATGTCATTTGGTCCCCGATACGCGTCCATCCTCAAACGTCACCTTAATGAACGTTTTTCGCATGAAAGTACATCAGAGAGGCGGAGGATTTGGTGAAAGGAGGGACTAAATGCGCCAGGGACACAACATTTTACGCGACACCTGTCTTCGAGGCTTAACATTTATATTTAGAATATTATAATGGTCTATCTAGCAATTATCAAAATAGTAAAATGAAGTTTTAATTGACAAATGCTTACAAATAAAAGCACATTATAACAGCTTGGAAGATGTTATTAATTATAATTATGTGAACTTACTAGAACGTTGTATCTATAGAAAATGTATAGAAATTTGGGCTGTTTTTTGCTAGAAGATAGCTGGGAAACAGAAACACAGGAAGTCAGGAAGGTACTGTGTTAATTTGCATCTCAGACAGGGTCGTGTTCGTGACGGGTGTTGTGTCACCCGCTGTCCGATAATGAGTGTATGCAGTTAGCATTTACCTGTAATGGGAAAGAGGCGCTCTTGTTGCCCACGTATCCCCGGACTACATGGCTCTGTATGGACAGAACACGGCATTCCATGGCGGCTCCCGGTCAGCCGAGGGGAAATGTAGATAATCCGTTATTCAAAGACAACCACGTCTACACATAACAACACGAGAAAACACCGTTTTAACTCTATAACAACAGAGAAGAACCAGTGTTAGCTAGCTTTCTAACCTCTCACACAGATGTGACGGAGAGCGCGTGCGGCAGCGACTGTAGAGATGTGTGTGTGTATGAATGAGGGAGAGAGCGCGTGCGAATGAGCGCACACTAACAGCTATTACAGCCCTTAACGTTACTGTTACCGGTAACGTCGCTGTTTGTGGCTCATTTTCATGTGAATCCTTAAAGGGAACAACGAGTTACAGACAAACAGGGTCGCCCCTAACAAGGACATACATTAAAAATGCACGCACACCGGCTTTACGTGCAGGCAGTCTCTGTGACCGCCTAAACAGGATGACGTCAGCACCGTGCTGGATTTAAATCAATGCAATTTTCAATCATTTTCTCTTTAGCTACATTATTTTCCTCCAGTTTTACATATCCAAATCATTCAATACAATATCTAGCAATGACTTACTTATGTTTTAAATATGCCTACAACAGGATGCAGTTTTTGCTGTATTCTGTATTTTTGGTGATGTGTTTTCTGTGTTGTGACTCACCATTTCACTGGCAGAGTCGTGACTGAGGAGAGATTTGACTTGGTAAAGGCTTTTTATGTCACCACATTGCACAGCACAGCACAGCCGTAGCTGGTTTAGCACATCCACAGGCATACAGTACAGCAAAGGTAAATGGTTGGTGGTGAAAGCATAACATGTTTTATTAATCCCCTGAATATATCTGAGTTTCAAATAGAAAAAAAAAAAACAACAACCAGAAGGCCTTCTAAAGTTTATGTTCCAACTTGGAAAGTTAAAGACTCTTCTCGAAGCCCAATTTAATAATCCAATATGGCTGCATTAGGCTTTCTGTTTATCTCAGTTTAGAAATTTTGGAATCAGTGAAGAAAAATGAACTCACCTTTGAAGTAAACTTCATTTCTTCCACTAATTTTCCCCTCTGCAGTTGAGTTTTATTGTACTAATAGTTGATAAACCCAAAAACAACAAACTGCTAAAAGTTGGCTTCCAAACTGAAAATGTAGTAGAGGGAGAAATTTTATGTTTTGTTTGTATCTGGACCCATGTAGGTTCTGTTTTCGAATATAAAACAACCCAAATATCCCCAAACTTATAGTTTTTAGCTTTGATAACCATTATTATACCAAAGCAATTAAGAGCTAGACAAAAACTTAAGTTGGAATGTCACAAATGAAAGATAAAGTAAATATAAATCAGTGTAAGATGCAAAACAAAGCTCTAACCTTCACAAATTCAAAATCTATATTTTTTATAACAAGATGATAAAGTTGAAACTAAATATCTTTCCACAATTAGTAAATGCTTAAATTCTATGTTTCAAGACTGAGAAGAAGGAAACATTTTTTTTGTAAACCAAATATTTGTTTACAAAAAAATCATGAACTGGAGGAGTTCTGAGTAACTAATAAATCTACATGAAAGATAAAGAAGAAGTCCAAAGCATATTATTCCTGTCCCTTATGTTTCCTTCGTGCACACATCCCATGAATGTTAAACATGTTCAGTTTCCTTTTGATTGTAGAGGTTTGGTCCTGTGAGGTTACTTGGCAGCTTTTGGAGACTTCTTTTAATTTCTTGCGGGCTGCTTTCTGTGTGAACCTGGTATTGGGTTAGCTAGAACTGGGCATTTTGGTCGTTGTTATGACAGGACATATTTGTTTCAAATATATCCCTCTGCCACAAAAAATATATCAACAAAGCAGTAATTTTTTCCAACTTTAAGGACATTTTGTATTAAGTTTCACAATTGCAATCTAAAGTCATTTTCTATCTTATACTCATGGTTTACTGTAAGGAAGAGTGGTTTTATGACTGATAAATCATATCTAAAGCATGGGGTCACATAAAGGGATCAGAAGCAAAAATAAAGGATGGATACTGTGATACAAAGTGTTCAGAAAATGATTAAATCTAAGATTTGAGAATTTTTAAGAATTTATCTATATTGTTTATGAAAATCATAATTACCAAAACTAGAAAATTCCAAAGAAATTTTAAGGGGCCTGCCAACTGTGCCTATGACTTTAAACCCAGCGTTTCAAATTTGACATGAAAAATAGATATATGCAGGTGTAACATAAATATCTCACCACTACAACACAGTAACTGTAAATATTGTCAGGTATATCTTGGCAATATGAGTCACC